CTATGAAAATCTAAGAAGCTCCAGGATATTCACAGTGAGTTTTTGGATGTTGAAAATCTGAAAATATGTCAATTTCGGATGTTGAACATCCAAAATTGTTTAGACATCACATTGATCATGGACATCAAGATGCATTGACATGATAAAAAAATGGACATCATTTTCTGGATGCATGGACATGAGAATAACTCATTTTTTGATGTATGGATATGAATTTCATTTTTCTTATTTTAAGGCTATCACAAAGATTTCCAATATTGAAATCATCTATCTCGACACAAAGATTGGCAAACTCACCCATTAGAAGATTTATGACAATAAAGAATTCCGATTGCACTGACACAAATTTGACAACAAAATCACAATATTCACTCAATTCATTAATTCATGAAAATCATAATTCCATACAAGAATACAATATTATCATCAAGTTCACTCTATCGGTTCTCTGCATGTCCTCTTATTATGACCCTCTGCATCGCATCGTTTGCACTTCAAAGGCTTAGTGATCAGATGTTCCGTCTCGGATATTCTTCGTTGCTTTTTTGGCGTACCAGGAAGGCGTGTAGACCTTGGTGGCAACACTATCCGGTTGTAAATACATGTCAACTCAATATCATCCGAGACAGGTGCAAAGGGAGTTTCAAAAGCTCTTCTAAGGTATTCCACTATAAAATACTTAAGGTAGTACACAGTGGGATCCATATGCATATGGTTAATGGCCGCAATAACATGGGCACATGGAATGCCACTTAGTTGCCATTTTCTACAACTGCATGTCCACTTAATTAAATGGACAGCGTACTTCTTAACAAGATAGTGGATCTCAAAAAACGTGTCCATGGCGGATATAACTTTGTGCAAAAATCTAGCCTTCATCTTTCGTGTGTCAAGTAATTCTTGGGCCTTCGGTACTAACATATCGCACCAAGTATTACCTAATTTCTTCTTCGCTTCAAACCTGATCATCAACTGTATCATTATTTTTTCACACATTGTAATGATCGGCTTCTCTCGAGCCGATAAAATCCAAACATTGAAAGACTCGACCATGTTTGATCTAAGATGACTATATCTAGACCCTGAAAAATGGGCATCTGCCCAAAATTTGGGTGGAATATTCTTAATCCAATCATATGCTTCTAGGTCGGCACACTGTATATCAAACATTATTTTTTCAAACCCACCAATGGTCGCTTTACGAGCAGCCTTCCAAAACAACATCAGCAATACTTCAGTATTTGCTGACCTCTTCATAAAGCCCTTGAAGTTCTCTCTCATATGAAGCATGCAAAATGATGGAAAACATGTTGGAAAGCATTTTTCTATTGCTTTTGGCAGGCTTTTCTGTCGATCTGATATTATGGTTAAGGCAGGCAGATTAAGGTACTCATTTAAGAGCTCACTCAATATACTTAAAAACCAATACCAACTCTGGTAATTCTCCTTATCAACCACTGCAAATGCCAATGGGAATAGCCCATTATTTGCATCTACCACGATAGCGTACAATAAAATGCCTTGATACATTCCTTTTAGGAATGTTCCATCAATACCAATTAGTGGCCTGCATCCATTGACAAACCCCATAATGCATGGACGATAAGCAATGAATAGCCGTTTGAACCTACCTTCATCTGTGTGGATGTGAACTTTGGTTCCCGGGTTGGTTCTTCTGATCTTCTCAATATACAGAGGGAGGTAATGGTATTGTTGTTCATGTGATCCATCTATCTTCTCTCTAGCAACCTCTTTTCAACCTCTTTTTCTTGTCAAGCTTGCATATAGGAAAGCCTGACCTCGTGATCACATTGAGCATCCTTTGCAATGTCTTTTGCTTGAAGTTTTGGTTGGTCAAAAAGGCGGCCTTTAATCACTACCAGCTAGTGGCTGATGGACCCTCCCCATTGGACCACTACATGTGTGCTCCTTAACCATAGATTTCACTTTAAAGTATGTGGTGCTACCAACTCATAAGCACCGCACTTGCCATGTGCATCCATCTGTCTTGAAACTTGCCCATACCCGTCCTAATTCATTTTTGTCAAACTTCAAAACAAAATTGTTATGGATTGCAAAATCAACTAGAAGATGCCGACATTCATTAACATTTTCAAAAAGTTACCCAACATTCAATTGAACCTCGTTACCAACTCCTCTACATGGACTCTCTAGTGGTTCAATGTCCTCTATATCATGCTCTTGTACGAGCTCAGGGTTGGGCACCACTCCAATGTTTTGATCATGCTCAGGTAAAGTGTTATGCCAACTGTTGACAAAAGATAGAGTGTAAGATGAAGTAAGAATTTTTACATATATAAGATTAAAATAAAGCAATTTACAAATGAGAAAATAAATTTTAGATATACCTATTCCTTGAAGGTGGGTCCTCAACAACAAATTTTTGTTGTAACTCAGCAATATATATTACAATTATCGAAGATTCCCCTCCCAACATAAAAGATATATCTATATCACCACTAACATCAATCAAATCAAGCTCACTAGATAGACTTGTGTTGTGGTACATAATAGCTAATTTGTTTGGATCACACTTGGTTAAATTTACAAAATGACTTTTTAGTTCTTCCAAGGAACTATTCCTATTATACTTGATGACCTTCAATTTTCCTCCTTTATAAATAACGCGTCCATCATCTGCATTCGTCACAAATGACCCCTATATCGGAATACCAGTTGCATTCCCTCAGTAGCCATCGTCAATACTACTGTATTAAATGAATAACAAAGTTACTGTTATAAAAAATCAATACAAAAAAATTACCAAAAATTTGTATATTTCTAACTACTTTAGGATTCATAAAATCTGAGTATTCCATAATACATTGAAATAGTGTACTACTAAAATTGTCAGTAGCGATCATCAATACTCATGTATTAAATGAATAGCAAAATTAGTGCTACAAAAAAATTACAAAAAATTGGGATATTTCTAACTACTTTACAGTTCATAAAATCTGAGTATTACATAATAGATTGAAATAGTGTGTGAGTAATACTCACATAAACACAAAATAAACAACAAATTTTATTACAAATAAACAAGTTTAACAATTATTTCGCCAAAACAAAGAATACAATGTATCAACATGATACAAACAACAAATAATTATATAAAAAAACAATTTCATCAATACTAAACAAATTCCATTTATTAATCTCAAATACACAACAAATGTTATTAACAAAATTAAATATTCTAAATAATAATAGATAAATAAACTTTAATTAATCAACTGTATAAAGAAAGAGTAAGAACGGTACCAATCACGTCGAAATAGTGAGTCAATCTCTTCAACTTTGTGGGTTACTGTATTAAGGACAGTAAAAAGGGGTATGTTCTTTTAATGATCGGTTTTTCCCAACTTTATAAAAATAAACATATATAAGTTTTCGCCCATAAGCGGGAAGTCTTGGCGCGCAAAATTTCGGATGTTGAATATTCGAAATTTGTAAGTGACAGCTTTAGCTGGCTGTTTTCAGATGTTGAACATCCGAAATTTTCATAAATTTGGATGTTGAACATCCGAAAAAGGGCAAAAGTATCTTTTTTTTAAAAAGACGTTATGAAAGATAAAAAACAGACAGATGAGTAATAACGGAAATTATTAGGTGTAACCGTAATAACGTAAAGTATAACGGATATATATGTAATTTTTCCAAAGTGAGATGTTGGGTTAAAATGGGGTTATTTTGATATTAAAAAAAAAAGAAAAAGAAAAAAAAAAAAACCTTTTATACTTAAAGAGTAGATGCAAGAATAAATATGGTTAAGATTAATAGTGTGGTACTAAAAATATTTAATGCCTAAAAAGTACAATATAGTTGTATCCATAGTTTTTTCTTTCTCTATTTTATCTCGGAACCAAACAAGGACTTGAAACTATTTTTCACGTCGAGTCAGTTCTCTATTAGAAGACTCATATACGAACAATTGGCCTGAAATTTTTATCTTAGCTTCCACCCTTAATAAATTACGGGAGAACCAACATACTCGTCCTAATTAATGAAGGATGAAGTTTCTACAAGGCCTAGGCTTTTGAAAACAAAATAAAGCTTCACCTCAAATCCGCGTTCTCAAAGCACTTTTTGTAACAAAAATCTCCCACGACTTTAAAATCAATTTTCAACATAACAATAAAATTTAAAACTCACACGTGAATATATGAACACTTATTTTTAAGGAAAAATGGACATTCTAGATAATTTCTTAGAGTTTGAAATCCTTTATTTATTTATTTTTTTATTTATTTTCACGACCATAATGTAAGCCAAGATGTTCGATGCAAAAGTTTCCAATACTTGAATTACAATTTTTGATGAGGTAAGATGTGAGACTTTATTTATTTATTTTGATAGAGCTGCAACTCTATCAAACCATTTTCCATCAAGGATATTAATTAAAAGGTGAGGTTTGTATAAGTTGTCAACCTTATACTATTGAAGTAAGGTATGCCTCAAAACTATGTAGAAAATATAATTTCGTTGCCTCAAAGCCTTGCAATAGTATAATAATCTATTTTTTTCCTTAATTATGAAAGTTAAAGATTCAGAAATGATGACGATCAAGCAGATATGTAAATAATTGAAAATTTTGAAAATGGACAGTCTAGATGATATGTTAGAAGATAATCTATTTTTAGATCTAAAAATCCCTTTTTTTTTCATGTCTATAATTTTCAAGGTCGAGATGAATGATTTGAGAGTTTTCCAACATAAGAACGACCTCCTCTAGTGGATTTTTAGGTGTACCTTATTTATACAGTATAAGGTTCACACCTTGTATAAACTTTTTCTTTAATCAAAAGCAAACAAACATAAGACACGAACTCAAGAAAGGCAAGGAATCCACCTTTGACCATTGAACCAAGTAACCAGTGATACTCTGCCACGTGGAAAAGACCGAAAAAAAATATTTTTATCGACAACATAAATATAGGGATAAAAGGAGTATCTCTATCCCCCTCTAAATTAGTCTTTGGAGCTGTTTCATCCTCCCCCGTCGCCCTCCTATATCACATTCCGTTCTCATTCAATTAAAACCCAAAAACCATGCTGCAAAATTCGCCGGAGAATTTTTCCGATGATCATTCCCTCGCTCCCTCTCTCCTAGAAGACCCAACATATGATGCCGGAAATATCGAAAAGATAGGCATAGATGAGATGCTGCAAAGATTTTCCGGCGAGTTCGGCTGGTGGCAACTAAAGCACTTTGTGTTAACGAGCCTTGCTTGGTCTTTGGAGGCCTTTCATACCATGGTCATGATATTTGCTGATAGGGAACCGGATTGGAGGTGCACTCCTGGTCATGGCTCAGCCTGCGCTCGAGCCATGGGCTCGGTGTGCGGTTTGGAGTCCGGCTCGTGGGAATGGGTTGGCGGCTCGCGGGTTTCCACAGTTTCAGAGTTTGGATTGGTCTGTGGGGAAAAGTATAAAGTCGGCTTGGTTCAGTCGGCTTTCTTTGCAGGCGGGCTTCTTGGTATGAAAATCTCATAATCTTTCTAACTACTTTTAGAATCCCTTCGTTTTATTCCTTACAGTTTTTTTATGCGTTCGTATTTTGTGATTTTGATATATTCAGCTATTACTTAGTATTTTACCGGAATAAGTAAAACCATTCAAGAATCTCCATTATTCATGTTTAATTGAAATCGAGAAAGTATAGGTGAAACCATTGATCCACTGAAATTTTCCACTGCAGATTAACCTTTAGGAACCTTGTTACTAGATCATGGTTTTGTTTCTCTAGAGTTTTAGAAATCACTGGTTCTGTGCATCTCTAGAGTTTTCGAAATCACTGGTTCTGTGCAATTCAATGGAAATTGCGAATCCTGCTGTCTTTTAGATTCTAGCCGGGTTTTGTGGTCCTAAATAAATTTAAAACTAAATTATTACCCCAAATTTAAATACAACTAGAAGAACTCCAGTATGAAAGAAAACTAAATTATTGCCCCTAATTTAAATTCAACGAAAGAACTTCAGCATGAATGAAAGACCAATGTGATCTTGCCGAATATATATATTTTTTATTTTCTTATTTTTCACCTCTTTTATTTTAGCAAAGATCATTTACAATAAAACCAAGATATTAAAACCTTAATGCCACTAAACCGATTTCTTTAAACAAAACAAATAACAACTAATATAAAAACAATATAATTAAATATGTAAATACAACGATCAACCTTCAATCTCAACCGAAAAAGCAAGCTCACTTAATACTGCAGTACTCCCACCTTCAACCCGAAAAAGTGATATCAAAGATTCACCATAGAAGGATATAAAAAACGAGTACATCCATCCTTGTACAACATAAATAGTTAAAACCCTTTGTTAAAGGAAGTTATAGATAAGTATTAATGAACCATAAATGCAAAAGATTTCTGCTAATGGAGAATGAGTTCGTAATTTAAAATTTAACTGGAGGAAAACTCATCCCATTAGATTTGTGCTAATAGAGAATGAGTTCGTAATTTAAAATTTAATGGAGGACAACTCATCCCATTAGACAAAGGCAAAGAAATATAGTGAGAGAAAGATGCTTTTTAGATGTATTACATGGTGTCGGGGTTGGTGTGGCTTGGAGCTTCCGGGGGTTTCACTTCAGTGGGTTGTGGGGGATGGTGAATGGATGTGAGAGATAGAGTAGAAATTGTAGGATTTTCTCTTTCTTTTCTCTTTCCTCCGCAATAATTTTGACATTTTGGGTTTTTTTAGTTTGTTTTAGATTGATTTGAAATTATTCATAGTTAAATACACGGATCATCATCAGGATTTATGGAAAGTTAAGTTTTAGGTTGATGGCTTACTTAAAGCTTGGGATAAATTAAAAAAAAGTTTAAGATCTTCACCTTTCTTAAACCCTATAGTCATAATTAAATATAGGGATGCTCACCAAAAAAATACTTTAAATTTGGGGCGTGATCTTGATGAATTTGAGCTTGTATTGGGACACAAATTTCGTTTGGCCTTAATTTCCTTTATAATGGAATTCAACGAATCCGGCCAAAACATTAGGGTCTAATTTTGGTACGGCTGTTTCGTCATTTTCCCTTATTTTAAATGGTTGAAGGCCAGGGTTCAACAGTAGAATAAACGTATTGGTCTGGCATGGATGCATTAGGTTCATGGAATGTATTGCATACGTTAGTATCTAGAATATTCCTTTAGTTCGGAAAATATTTAAGTAAGGTCTCAAACTTATACTGTATGGGTAAGGTGCATCTAAAAAACCCACTAGTGAGGTTGTTTTTATATTGAAAAGCCCTCAAATCGACTATCTCAACCTTAGGATTTGTACAAATAAAAAAAAGAGACTTCTAGTCGTAAAAATAGTTCATCTTCTAATACATTATCTTGACCATTTATTTTCAATATTTTCAAGTTTTTATAGATCTGCTTGATCGTCACTATCACTGGGAACTTTAAATTTCATAACTGGGGGCCACAATAGATTTTCATATCATCGCAAGGTTTTGAGGCACCAAAATTATAATTTCGGCTAGTTTTGAAGTGTGCCTTACCTCAATAGTCTAAGGTTGACTCCTTATACAAACCTTACCCTTTTTCGTTCTCTCTCAATCAATCAAATTATTTTACATATTTTATGTACTCCATGTCGGCTCCAGACCAGTACATGACACAAGTTGGGTCCATGTCATTTCAACCCGGACCGCACCTGCCAACTCAGGTCCAGTTCCGGTCAACCGACCCAATTGCCACCACTAATTAGAGTGCAACTTAGGCCACTTAAAAAAATTAAAAGTACTTCTAAAAAATATAAAAGTTGTGGTTTTCATAAAGTTGCAACCTTTAAACAATCCAACTAAGGTGCGCCTTCAAATTTTATCATAATTTATAATTTTGATGTAAAATGTTGTTAGGATTGTTTCAAAATCTATTTTTATATCTAGTTATAAAATTTTAAATTTTAAATATGGTTAAAATCAAGTAGATCTATAAACATATGAAAATCTTGAAAATGGACAGTGTAGATAATATGTTGTAAGATGCACTATTTCTTATACTCAAAATCGTTTTATTTTTCATAGTCATCCATCTTGATGTCGAGATGATCAATCATAAGGTTTCTCAACATTAAAATAACCTTTTCCGATGGATGATCAATCATAAGGTTTTTCAACATTAAAATACACCTTTTCTGATGGATTTTTAAGGTACATCCCTAGTTCTATATTTTAACGTTGCAACCTTATATAAACTTTTTTCAAATATAAAAGCATGGAATCAATGTAACAAAATTATATATATGTAATTTTGATACTTCTCTCAATGATTAGTGAGTTTTTCTTGTGATTAACCTCTTCCCTCTTTTTTTGGTTCTTTCCAAATATCTCCAATTGTAAATTAGTTTTTTTTTTTTTATTCTGAATTCATATATCTAATATAAATTTCACTTTTTTTTTTTTAAATTGCCTTTGGCATTGTTTCACTTATAAAACTCTTATTTTATTCTTAAACAACTTTTTATTTTTTTAATAAACGGAGTCTGTTGGGTTACTCCCGCAAAGCCAGTGCTAAATTTCCATTCTCACTTGCATATTAAAAATCACTAACTATTTCTAAAAATAATTAATGGTAGAGGAAAATGGGTAAGGCCGGTGTTCCCCACTAATATACCCCCAACAAAAGGAAAATACAGAGTTTGTGCCAGACATGTGAGATAGAAAAGATTGTTTTGAACTCTTATTTTCGTGAATAAAGTATGGGCTTCCACTTTCACAGGAAATAATGATAAAAAAGTGGCAACGCTTTTCAACGAGTTTCCAAACAAGAAAAAAGCAATCCCATCTTTACTTTTCTCGTGCAACGGAATAAAGTCACCATTCAGTTCGATCAATACCTGTCTCCTTGCTCCGAGTAATGATTTGATTCCCACCCGGAATTGGATCAGGCCCAATTAGGTCTAAATTATATCAAGATCTGAACTTAGTTCAGGTCCATGTCAATTGGAAGTAATCCCAATCTTGTTCAAATTTATCATTTATCAATATTATGTGAGCTTTTTGGGTCTTTGTTTTGCCTTTTTAGCACTTTTCATTTGAACCAAATTACGTTTTTTAATCGATGATGTCATATGTTTAGGTTGCATATAACCAGCCCACTTGGATCCAATCGATGATGTCATATGTCTAGGTTGCATATAGCCAGCCCATTTGGATCCACCTGTTGGAGCCACCATTATATTTCTTGAAATTTGAATCTATAAATAAAAAAGTATAAAATATTATTTTACATCTTTTGTTGTATACCGTAAATTTTATCTTTTTTTTAACAGGATAATTTACAAAAATTATTGTATTATTGTATTGTATACAATAAATTTTTATCCACAGGGGGGAGAGGCAAACTCAGCCCCAACCCAACCCGATCTGACCTGATGGGATCAAAACCTAACCAAAACTCCAAAATGGCTTGGGAGGGGTCAAAGTTGAGTTGATCCAAAACGACTTGTCGGATTTTTTGTTTGGGTCTAGACACAAACCCAATTCGATCAAACCGGCAGGTCTACGAGTCGACTACCAGACCCATTTCCCACACTTAAGTTGATCCAATATTTCCTGAATTATAAAGGAAAGTAAGGGACAACGGTTATCTTCGGGTGACACATGAGAAAGCTAGTGTATGGAGCAACCACCGGTAACAATGAACGTTAGAGGTCAGTATTAGTCGCGTGAATACCATAAAGGGAAAGTGTAGAGTGAGATCATTTACTTTTTATACAAGGTGATCACATTAGTCTTGACCATTAGATGTGAAATTGGGTGGCTACAATTGCTCCATTGACCAAGCTCAAATTTCAAAAGAATTTTTTTCAAACTTTGTGACACATCGAACCTATCAAATTTGGCATCAAGTGATTATAAGGAATTGTGACTACCTTGCTACGCATTATTTGTAAGATCACCCGATCTAACTGCTAACTACCCGGATTGGCCGGTTCTGGTTTTGGGTCGTAAGGGTGAGCAACCGGTATTTTAAAAATAACATATTCAAAAAAATATATATAAATTCTAAAAAATAAAGAATTTGATTTGTAATGTATTTTTAAATATTATTAGATTATGGTAAAGATTAAAAAGTTATTTTGGTCATTAATACTCATTTCTATATTTTCCCATCTCTTTTAGAAAATTTTAAAAATAGCCATTGGAAAATATAAAATGGGATATCATCCATTTTTATCATTAATTTTCAACTTCATTTGAATGTGTTTTGTTTTAATCATTTTTTATATGTTTTTCATATTTTAGTAGATTTTTTTTTAATATTTTTTTAATTTTTTTAATACTTTTTGACCGCCAGGACTTGTCTAGTTAGAGACGTTGAATCGGCCGATTTACCGATTAGGCCGGTTAAACCGTTTCTGGGCCCATGTCCGGTTAACCATTCCGATTTGATTTTGTGAACACTGTTCCTATATCTACATTACTTGTTTGGAACGTTAGTTAAGTGCACCGGTGTAACTGGTGTTTGAAAACCGAACCACGTGGTTTCTATACGAGTCGATGAAGAAAAAGATACAAAATAAAATAAAAACAAGAAATAGAAAAGATATAGAAAAATATAACAACAATTATTCAAAACCAAATGATTTGATTTCCTTTAAGTAGAGATATAAAACAAAATTAAAATAAAAAATTAGAATAAAAAGACTCTGTGAATAGAAAGGCCGAATTAAAATGGAGGAGAACAGAATAAAAAATTGGTATTGGATATTTTTTTGGACTGATTACAAAAGTGTTAGGCTTTTATAGATCAATTTAATTAGAACATTTTAGGACAAATATGACCAAATTTGGTGAAAAAAAGAGAGGGAAATCAAAGTTTTCTATTTTCACCTTCAAAAAGCACCTGAAATTTGAATTGTGGATTGTTTAGATATTGATTTTGAATTCAAAAATTTATAAGGGATCTTTTAGATGGCTCTATTACTAACATTTAAATCAAATTTAATAATTCGTTGAGAAATGAAGAGAGAGAATGCAAGAAAGGCATCCCAAAACGTGAATTAAGATGGATCTATTTGGTTCCAAATTGATCAGAATGGAGGATTAAAGATTGTAAAAATAGAAGACCTAGGAACCCTCTACTCAGGCGCATTTTAAAACCCTCGGTGTATTGCAATAAAAAAGGTCCCAGATTTACTTTTCTTTTTGAATTTTGGAACTAATTTCCCTAAAACAAGTGATGGATTTGTTCTTTTGACCCAAGTGGCTATGTTCTTTTAGTCAAGCATGAGCCTGTAGCTTGTGGCTTTTGTTTTTGTTCTTTTGACCCCAGTGGCTCTGTTCTTTTAGTCAAGCATGAGCCACACTAAGATAGTGACTTGCAATGGATATTGTTTTGCAGGTGCGGGAATTTTCGGACACCTTTCCGACTCTTTTCTAGGCCGGAAAGGGACACTCACACTGGTATGTGCATTGAACGCCGTATCCGGCATTTGTACGGCGATGGCACCGAACTACTGGATATATTTCATACTCCGCTTTCTCACCGGAGTTAGCACTGGAGGCGTTGGCCTCTGCTCCTTCGTCCTTGCCAACGAGCCTGTGGGCCCCACCAAACGTGGGGCTGCCGGAATGTCCTCCTTTTACTTCTTCTCAGCTGGAATCTTGATACTTTCAGGGATTGCCTACATTTTTCGGGAATGGCGGTCCCTCTACCTAGCGACCTCTTTGCCCTCCATACTGTTCGTAATTTGTGTGGTGCCCTTCATCTTGGAGTCTCCTAGGTGGTACCTGGTGCGTGGCCGTCACTCTGACGCGATGCATGTAATGAAGAAGATTGCAGAGTCGAATGGTGCCCACCTTCCCGCCGGAATCTCACTCGTACTAGACAACCAATCATCGGAATCGGACGAATCATCAGAAAACTCTGCCTCTCTCCTCGATGTCGTCAAGACTCCCTTAACCAGAATGCGCCTTATACTAATGGTCTGCATCAACCTAGCATGCTCCATTGTTTACTATGGCCTAAGCCTCAACGTCGTGAATTTGGGAACAAACCTCTACCTCAATGTGTTTGTGAACGGGATTTCCGAGATGCCGGCCTTTACCATAACAGCAGTGCTGTTGGGAAAGTTTGGAAGGAGGGCTATGGTCATCGCGACCATGGGACTAAGTGGCGCTTTCTGCATTCTAGGTAGTGCTATGAAGGGGGAGGGGTTAATCAAAGGGATTAGGATGCTTTGTGGAGTAATGGGGATTTTTGGGATGGCAGGAACCTATAATTTGTTGTTCATTTATACGTCGGAGTTGTTCCCGACAGTTGTCAGAAATGCAGCATTGGGGTGTGTAACTCAAGCTGGACAGGTAGGGGCCATATTGGCGCCAATGGTGGTGGTGCTGGGGGGAGTGGGCAGTGGCGGACCTGCGTTTGGAGTGTTCGGGGCATGCGGTTTGGCGGGAGCTGCACTTGCATTTTGCTTGCCTGAGACACTGAACCAGCCCTTGTATGACACTATGGCTGGCCTAGAGGATGCAGAGGGTGAAGAGAGAGACATGCAGAGAACAAAGATTTAATAGTGAAACTTGGGGTTGAGAGTTAGTGTAAGCCAATAATTTTGGGTTCAGAGTTGATATAGAGCAGTTGTGCCGAGAAGAGTGAAGGTTGCCTCATTTTGTTTGATGATAAAATTAACTAGTTTAAGTTAAAACCATGGGATTAGAGGATCATATTGAATTCCAAACATTTGCAACCTGGAATTCCTCTGTATCAAAACAAGCAAGACGTTTCATGGCTGCTATCTTGTTCCCTCATTTTATCAATGACGAATGCATATTTTCCCCATTTTTTTCTTGTAGCCATTGAATTATTGAAGTAGAATGAATTGTAGAAGGAAGGTAGAATGAGTGGTGTATTCGTCTATAAATTTAAGCTTTTTCAGTGCATGAGCCAGTCCAATGTCTCTAATATTAGACCATGTTAAAAAATAAATAAATAAATAAATAAAAAAAGAAAAGAGGGCCGGTTATGTTGCTGTTTTGGGTCATGTTGTTGTTCTATAAATATTTTGATGCCAATTATGATTATGATGAGCATGCTATTGCGGGTCATTAAGGCGGGTGCGATATTAGAAGTGCAGCAAGCTATACACTCTGAAAAATCAAAAGAACCAAAATTCTTCCTAATCAGCAAAATTTAAGACTACTGTAGTGCGCTTACTCTGAAATGGGATGTCATCAACCATCTTTAAAGGCCAGAAGACTATGCATCCTCAGACAAGGGATATCATAACAGTCTCCAATTATGCCGTAAATTCCAATAGACAAAGACAAACTAGGGGGAAAAAAAAAAACTAATAATTTGATTGAAAATTGAAAGGAAGCTAACCAACATAGCTTCAATGGTTGTGCCCAAGGTTTAAAAAATCGCCATCCTGATTCGGAATTGGGCAAATGGGATTCAGTGATTCTACTATGCAGAATGGATGGGATGACATCATGATATGACGATTTTGTACAGTGAATCGTTTCGATATTGTCACATAACCGGATCTTACATCATCAAACTAGTTTTAACATCATTGATTTCATTTGTTAAATTTTTTTTTAATAGATGGGTCCCACAAACCATAATTGGCCTCAACTGCACACATACCATACGTCCTGCTCAACCAAGAGCAATTAAAAGCATAGGTGTCAAACCTTTTATAAAACTGTACTCTACCTAGAATTGTTGATGTGAGACAATTCACCCACTACTTTATGTGTACATTTCATAGCTTTTAAAGAGGTAAATAACACTTCCCTAATAAATAACACTTCCCTAGCTTATGCTCCCACTACGTTATGCGTGCAAACATGCGTCCCGCTCAACTAACATACATAATTATTGGGAGACAATATATGCAAGAGCCATCTTCTCTTTTTGTTAAGAAATGTTGCTTAAAAAATATACTAGCAATTTAAAGGATTTTTTAAACTGATTTCGATTATTATAAAAGATATACTAGTAATTCAAAATATGTATGCAAGAGCCATCTTGTTTATTTGAACCACGTTTATTTTTTAATAACGTTCCATATAGGGTCATTTCTCAATAAATACTCGGATTTTATTGTAGTCGATTGAATTTTCCAAACCCTAGCTAATCACATCAATCTTGAAACATTCTAACATATATATATATATATATATATATATATATATATATATA